ACACGTGGGGGAACTTCCCTCTCTGGAGTGCGGGCTATTTTTTTCCGCCTTGGGTTTTGATTTAAGCGCCAGCGCGTATGGCGCTGTCGGAGGGTGGCGCGTTTCGCGTGAAGGGGGGTGGGAGGTGGGGGTTGGCCCAGCATCCCTTACGCAGGGCTCGCTTGCCAAGTAAATCTCCTCAATTACTCCGCGCTTGATCGCGCAGGGCTTCTCTGGCTGGGTGGATCATCGCTCTGTCTGAGGCCCGCTGTCGTCTTCCCTTTGTCTCTCTGTGCTCTGCTGCACCGTAACGCACACCTCTATGCTGTTTAAAAAATGAGCCGCGACAACACACTGGCATGCATTAAACTCGCGCCGCTGGCCTACACAGGTGAAAAAGAGACAGGGGGAACCTGGTGTCTAAAACTCGAAGTAGGCCTTCTGTCATTGCACAGTCTCTGATATCCCGGTGGTGTCTGTGTGCCAGGCTGGCCTGGTGGCGAAGGAAGTGGCCCTTTTTTGAAAATAACTGAACTTAAGTGGAAATGAGCTCGTTCAAATCCCAGACAGAGGGCCGCTGCCGTAGCCTAGAGCAAGGTACTTAACCTGGGTGGCTTTTAAAGAGAATATGCAAAACTGTGAGTTATCAAAGGCACCCGGCGCAGCAAATAAAGAGGAGGTTATTAATAAGGAAGGGCTGCTTGTCTTTAACGCCAGCCAGGAGGACGTCTTGCGTGAAAGACTTGTCCCCCTTTTTATTGGTACCTCAGAGAGTGTCCGGCTCTAGCTTGTCTTTCACATGGTTGTTTGTGTTCTGATATTCTTCCCAGCATGCATTGGTGAGGGATAGGTATGTTTGCCTCTCAGGGTAAAAAAATGTGACCCCGCCAGAACTGTGGAGCAGAAGCGATGAGGAAGGAATTCGCCTCACGAATCGCATCACTTTATTTGGTGCCCTGAAGGCCCCCCACTCCTCTCTCCCCTCCCCGTGCAGTAATGAGACCCTCATCGCTGCTGCTACTTTTGCGCTCCGCACTGACAAGTGTCTCTCATGAAACTACTCATCTGAAGCTGATCAGTGATCCGCCCCAAAAATCTCCACGCTTTTGTGTGCAGCTGCCAATTTCCCTCGCTTTGGTCTCCTCAGACAGCTGAAACGCGCTCCACTCCTGCCAATCCACTCCACTCTACTTTCCTGCCTGCCGCACCAGTCGTGCCCCTTTTAAAGGTGCTGTGTTTTTTTTTTCCACTGAATTAGCCCTGAATTTCATTCTGAATTAGCAGGCAGATGATCAATAATCTCTGCCCTGTCTCCTCCTGGTGTGTACCATGCAGTGTCTCAGATGATGAAACAATCTGTGGCTACACCATAAGAGAGGACTTTTTATATGTGAGCAGGTCCCAGCTGCATGGGGGTTTATCATCGGAGTATGAATATTGGAAACAGGATGTTAAGCGATACTGTGTCTGGGTTCACCATCTGAAACCGATGTTTCATTCATTACTTGTAGCTATGGGTCCGCATTGCTGTGTGCAGTTAGCTCATTCGGTGGGAACAACTAGTACCTGTTTAGCATCAGTGTTCAGCGCAGTTTTAGTTTTGTACATGGTGGTGTGAATTAAACTGCCAGTTGCTGTCCAGTGAGAGCTGAAGGGCATTGTTTTCTTAAAAAGAAAAAACATGTAACATGGGAAGCGTTTTGTTGGACACAGCAGGCATTACACTGTTGATCTTGTGAGCATCCATTTGTGTGTTTGATTTGTCCAAACAATGAAACAGGTTTCCTGATATAAATTTTCCCATTGACCGCGTGTTCACTTTGTCCAGAGGGTGCGAGTCAAGCTCCTGTCAAAGCAGTATGAAAAACGATGATAGTATAGCATTTTTCCCTCTTTTCTTTCAGAAAACACACAAAGGTGGCAGTGTAGCATAGTGGTAAGGAGCAGCACTAGTAACTGAAGGCTTGCTGGTTTGATTCCCCACTGGAGCACTGCTGCTGTACCCTTGGGCAAGGTACTTCACCCACATTTGCCTCAGCAAATATCCAGCTGTATAAATGGACAACATGTAAAAACTGTAAGTCGTTCTGGCTAATAGCGTTTACTAAAAGACAATAATGTAACGGAATGTAAGGAATCCGTGAAAAAGAAGCGTTAGCCAGCAGATAAACGCGCAAACTGGCTGTTTTCAAACGAGGTGCGCGGTGATTCACGCGGCGCCGGCGACAGCGCGCCTGTGTAACGCCGTGTGCAGGAGGAAGCTGTCAATCACAGTGGCTCTCTGACGCTCCTCTCGCCACCGCGCGCGCGCTCGTTCGCTAATGTCAACATTTAATTAACGCAAATCCGCAACATCTCCCCGGCAATGTTAAATCACTTTAACTGCCGGAATGACCTTTAAAAGGGTATCGATTTGTTAATACAACTTAGAGCGCGCGTTGACATTCAGGAGTGTCACATTATGAAATTAAAGCGGTATCGGTGAAAATTGATGGCCTGAAATATTCTACCGTCGCTGAATTGATTCCACCTGCTGCTTGTACTGTTGCCATGTATTTTGAAAGTACAGTTTTTTTTTTTTTTTTTGCCTCTGGAGAATGTTGCTGTCGCTTTCCTGTTGACAAGCTACAAACTTGTCCACAGTTTACCTTACGCATGTTGTTTAACACGTGTGCCTAATTTGTTCTTTGATGTTTCACCTGAGAAAGTCAGTGTTCCCAGGTGAACTCCAGGGAAAGTGTTTGATTGGCCATAAAGCACGTGGTGGGCGGAGGACCTGGGGCTACTCTCTGTATGCCCGGCTCAACACTCCCGGGTGGTTCCCTCTCCCTCACTGCGTCACCTGAGGGGCCTCGTCAAAGGGCCGAGTTTGCGGAGATCATTCTAAGGATGTGCCCAGCGTTACGATGCGGTTTTCCGGGGGAGCCGCTCTGTGCATTAGGCCGACGTGACTGCGGAGGGTAATGCATGGGAGGCGAAATGAGAGGGCCGTTTTCTGCAAACGTCGCTGCCCTCCCTGAGAATTTGCTAATCCATTCTGCTGCTTAGCGCTAAGTTTCTGCTGAACATAAGCAGGGTTTTTTCTTTGTTGTTGCCGTTTCCATGCGTTGAAGGAAGGTGTCCCAAACTCGGACACGGTGCTTCCTGTCTTTCAAACCCCGCTAAACCACAGGCTGTTCTGTGATCTCCCCTCCGAGCTGGCCGTGTGCAACGACCTTCTCTGAAAGGCTACGCTATGCATGCATGCGTGTGCAGCGTCTTCACTCAGGGACCTGCTCATCCAATCAGATCAGTCCTCAGATAACCGCTGCATTCACTGCGACAGGCTCCGTTTGGAAAGAGGTCACGTTTGCAGTATCGGCTGATCGACGGGCGGGCAGAGGGAGAGCGTGGACACCCAGCCTCTGAAGCCAAACACCTGCCCGCAAGAGTCTAAAACAAAGCAAATGGTAATGAGCCAAACCTGCATCCCGCTAAAGTGGGATTAAAAGCAGCATCATCAAAAGCACTTAGCAGCGTGTTTGTAATTACCTCGACCGGTCAAGTGATAGCCTAGAACAAAAGGCAGGACAAACAGGGAGGAGCCCAGAGCAGAAAGGAGAAAGCCCTGCCGCCTTATTAAAATACATTATACATTATACATTATGCGGTAATGAGGGCCTCAGCAGAGAGAGATCACTAACACCAGAGATGGTCTGTTTATTGTTGCCAGATATTCAGATCCTGTGACCTTTCAGTCCTCTTTCTAGGAGTTTCCAGCCAGAAAAAAAGGAGGTTCTGGTGCTGTCTGCATTCCTGTGCTAGCAAAGAAAGTTCCGTTTTTGACCACGCCCCTTCAATAATGAGGCGGCGAATCAGAACGCCTGCTACTTCAACAGTGCCAGAAACAGAGCTTTCAGTATGTAGCCTGTAGCGCTTAGCACTGTCTACCTAGTCGTGACAAATACGGTATCTGTGGCCAAGGCAGCCGGAACCCGTGTCACCTTCGCCTCGGCGGTGTCTCCTTCCCAGAGTTCTCAGCACGAGATGCCGTTGACATTCTCGGCGCATGTCCACCCCGCCGTGAGGGCAGAGGAGGGCTGAACGAGAGATGGCTTCTTCGGAACGAGCCGCAGCCACGCGCTGCAGAGACAACAGCTGTCCTCACCCCCCCGTTCAATCACCCCCCACCAAAGCCCACATTTGCTGAGGAGTCGCCCGCTGTCAGCGGCTTTTGTTTTTTTTTTTTTCTTTCTTCACTTGGACAGGGAAAACCCAACCGGCCAATGAGAGAAGCACGCCCCCTGCAGGAAACTGAGCTCATTTCCCCCTCCTGCTGCCGTGGAAACAGCAGGTCAGGGACAGGCTGCCGAAAACGTGAATCATCTTCCTTGTTGCCTCTCAGTATGCAGGCAGTTATGGTCCTTCACACATTTTCCGCCCGGCTTCCCCCTTATCTGATTTTTCACAGGAACGTTCTCGAAAGTCCACCATAAATGCAAGTTTTTTTTTTTTCCCGTGTCTGAATGGTGGTGGAAGCGTCGGCAGCGGTTCGGTGCAATCTCCCGCGGACGGCTGCGGCCCTTCGACGTGCTAATGAAATCCCGTCGGCTCCTCCAGCTCGCGGACCCGGCAACTCGGGACGTGACGGATGGCCCCGGCATCTCGTCCGTTCGCAGAGAGCGGCGGTCGCGGTGGAGCGATAATGTCCGCCCGCTCCTTGCGGGCTTATCTTATTTACGGCACGCGGAGTCCCAGGGATGCAATAGCGCCGACCTGTTGAGTGCGCTGAATTAAAACCGGCCGCAATCATTGGAGAATAAATCACAGGCGAGGCCTGCTCATAAGGGTGACAGCCCGCCAAATGCAGATCCAATCTCGCAGTCCGTTAGCATTAACAATGCTCTTACAACACATTATAAATGTAATCTAATGCTCTTATAATACATTACATTATTGTCATTTAGCAGATGCTGTTATCCAGAGTGACCTGTATAGGTTACAGTTTTTACATATTATCCATTCATACGGGTACAGGAGCAGTGTCCCGGGGGGAATTGAACCAGCAACCTCTGGGTTTCAAGCCCTGCTCCTTAACCACTATGTCGCTATGCAACACCACTGCCATTGTTCGAGTGAAATACAACTAAATGCAGATCCCAGCTCACAATCCGTTAGCATTAGTGATGCTGCCATATTGCTCTTTCTTATTGCAACATGCAAGCAGTCTTTCTGTTAGCGTGTACCACATTAAGCCTTAGATCGCTGCAACAGAAAAAAAAGAAAAAAAACATATGTAAATGACAAAACATATATGGTTATGACCAGGGTTAAATTAAGCAAATAGGAATTCAACAACGGCATATTAGCATAAGCGCCTATAAATAGGCTGTATTTTCATACACGCATCTCATTTTCGCGGGTGAGAAAAATGTGCCCCAGAAAAGTCACAGCATGGAAACATAAAAAAAGCATATGACATGAAACCAGGCCTGGTACTATGGGGGTGCTTAGGGGTACACTGCACCCCCAGATAGACCTCAGTGTCTCCTTATATCCCGATGTCTGTGTAGTACTTCAGACTTTTTTGTGCTCCCCCCGTGGATTGCAGTTGCACCCCATGGGGGGAAAAAAGTAAAGCACGATGCCTACCCGTGACCGCTTTGCTCTCTAAATTGCACCGTCCCTCCGCTTCTCTCCCTTCCAGATGACGCAGGAGCAGTACATTTTGGCGGCCCAGCCCAATCACCTCCAGAGGCCAGCGTGTGCCGCGGCCTATCCGGTGGGGATATACGGCTGGCGCAAGCGCTGCCTCTACTTCTTCGTCCTCCTGCTGCTGGTCACCATGATCGTCAACCTGGCGCTCACCATATGGATCCTGAAGGTCATGAACTTCACCGTGGTAAGTGGATGTGACGCTACCTCTTTCGGGCCTTCAGTGCAGGAGAAATCATTTAAGGATGAACGTGTGCAGGTTAAGAAGGGCTCCTTTCTGTGGATCTGACTTTGTCAATAGGAGTAACAGTGTGGTGGGTTTATAGCCCAAAGACTACAGGTTTAGGGCAGGTGTGTGGTATAGTGGCAAGGAAGAAGGCTTGTAACCCAAAGGCTACAGTTTTAGGGCAGCAGTGTGGTACAATGGTAAGGAGCAGGGTTTATAGCCCAAAGGCTGGAGGTTTGATCACTTGGTAGGGAGCTGCTGCTGTACCCTTAGGCAGGGTCCCCAGAAAGCCCCAGTAAATATCCAGCTTTATGAATACATAATTGTAAGCTATGTTAGTTCGTCTGGCAAACAAATGGCTCAGCCATTTTTTGTTCATTTCAGGAACAGCCAAATTCATAACGTGTAAGAACCAAACAAACAAACATCACTCAAAGTTGACGTCAAAGAACATTGCGCTAAAGATCGAATCGGGACTCTGAAAATTCCCCATAAGGCAGCTGGTCCAGGTTGTAATATGTATGCAAATTACTGTGATCACATGACCCCATTGGTTAGCTCTCTCTTCCTTAAATGGCTTGAAGAATTGGACACGCGATACATCGAACAAAGAGGCAGAAATCCAGATATATTACGCCTCTCCAGCAGGCCAGACGTACTCTCAGAGGAGCTCCAGAAAGCCTGGCCCCAGAGCCAGCTCTGCAGGTGAATTTCGAACATGTTTACCCACGGCCATCCAGAATATCCCGGCCATATTAATAATTTGCTGATGAAATCCCTCAAGCTTATTAACACCAGCATCTGGTGAATTAGGGGCTTTTGTTGCGGTGGGATTGGCTCAGATTGCCTCCGTCTGAGCTGCGGGCTTGGCCAGCGCTGAGGAACAAAGAAACGGGCAGCAGATCTGAGAGGAAAAAGGAGAGCACTTTAGTCAAAGGCCTGTCGTGTTATATAAATGCACATATTTTTATATGCACGTGCACACACACACACACACACACACACACACACACACACAGATTTGCCCATACACACACACACACACACACACACACACACACACACTGGCAGAAGGTGCATGGGACTCGTGGCTGAGGTTATAGGTGCAGATTGTTGCTTTTCTTGCTCACCTCTTCATGGAGTAACAAGGTCAGCATCAATAAACGCATTCACTCATGCACTCATGTACACTGTGTCTGGAAAGTTGTGAGAGTTTTCTCAGCAGAGATGCAGACATCAATTACATTTACATTGTCATTTACCCAGAGCGATTTGCATCAGTTACAGCAGTTACAGGTTGTTTTTTTTTCCACAATTGTATCCCTTTATACAGCTGGATATTTACTGAGACAATTGTGGGCTAAGTACCTTACCTAAGGGTACAGCAGCAGCACCCGGGCTTGGAATCAAACTGGCAACCTTTCCGTTACGAGTCCTGCTCCTTAACCACCATGCTACGCTGCCACCCAGTATCCACGCCGAAGTGGCACCGTAAAGGCCAGACAACAAGAGCCCTGTTCTCACTGTAATAGCGGCGAGTGACTTAATATTTAACATAAAAGGCTCTGAACACACATGAAAACACATCATAAGAGCAGAAATACTGATTCTTTAAAAACACTAATCATTTTCCATGCCTACCTGTTGCCCAACTTGAAGTGGATGTTTCATTTTTTGGAGTGAGGGGGAAAAAAATGTAGCCGGATGTATCAAACAGACGGGTCAACGGCACCTGCAAAGCTCCCGCTTGTCAGATACTAATTTGGCAGATTAATTTCTCTGTCAAACCCTCTTATCCAGAGAAAGTGAAGAAGCTAATATGGCATGATGTGTATTAAATACATATCACAGCAGAAGCAAGAGTGGGACAGAGCTATGATATGCTTGGAGCAGACAGAATCCCGGTAAATAAATTACTCCTTTTATTATTTATATTTTTGATGATGTCCAATAAAGCAGTTTCCCAGGGTTTTTCTTCAGAGCAGCCTGATAGCATCTGTTCTGTGAATAGGACATATTTCAAAGCAATTGCTTAAAGAAGTGCCTGTAAAGAAGGCTCAGTATGAAAGCAGTACGAGAGACATTGGAACCGGAGTCAAATTCCTGTATAATGGGATGGCAGGGGCCACACATTTTGCTTTGTGCAGAGACGGCCATCGCAGGTAAGGGAGCAGTGGCAGAAGCAGGCCCAGGTGCTCTTGATCCTACTGTGTGGGTGACCGCTGTCTGTCCTTACAGCAGACATGAAGCACACGCCGGACCCACAGACCCACAGTCCTTCGGGGTTTGCATTCGGCTTTCAGCTGGACTCTGATTTACTCCTGGTACGCCAGGAGAAGTGGATAACCCTCACCCCGGTCCCATCGGCACCCTGCCCTGCCCCTGTTAAATCACTCAGAGACGGGTAGACCCTGCGGCCTGGCAGTGTTGGAATCGCGCCTCACGCCCCCAATGGCGAACATGATTGGCTGGGCCCAGGCCCTGGGGGAGGGGTGTGTGTGTGTGTGTGTGTGTGTGTGTGTGTGTGGCACCGGAGCGGGGGATGGGGGGGCTGGTTGTTGAAGGAAGTGGAGCGCACCCGTTTGGTGTTGGCGATGGCATCAGTGACCGTCACCCTCAGGGACAAACAGACCGCGAGAGCTGGCTTAGCTCAGTGCATCTCTGCAGTCTGCCGCTGTAATGCTGGAAGGGTGTGTGTGGGTGTGTGTGTGTGTGTGCCTGCGTGCATTCAGATTTGTGTGCCTGTGTGGTTGCATTCAGATACATGTGATTAAAGTGGTTTGAGTGGTTGCGTGTGTGTTTGTGTGTGTGTGTGCGTGTGCGTGTGAGTGTGCGTGTGCGTGTGTGTGTGTGTGTTTGTGTATGTGGGAGGGGGACTGAGTGTGTAGAGCAGTGTGTGTGGTTGCATGTGTGTGTGTGTGTGTGTGTATGTGCATGTATGAGTATGTTCGCATATACTTTTCATTGCAGACAGACAAATTAAATCAAGCAATTTACCGTCTTCATTCATTCATATTTCAGATATTTCAGCTTCAGACTGGTCGCACTGTGGTTTGAAAAGCACAGACAAACAGACTCATCAGCTCTCAATAGTGAGAATAGAGACTACCGCAAATGGTTAAAGATGTCTTTGTGGCAGCCTCTGCATGGTGTTTAAAAATAGATATTTTCCATTAAGTTGCTGAGCGTTTATTAGCAGGACCAGTGGAAAAGCCTCAGTGAAGCAGGCTCCTCTCCTCGCCGTTATTTCCCTCCCTGTTGAACAGGCAGAGTGAATCACTGCCTGCGAGAAAACGCAAAGTGGTATTGGATTAACTCCTGAGCTCAACTCTCTGCATTCATTTGCCTGTGTGTGTGAGTGTGTGTGAGAGAGAGAGAGAACATGTCTGTGTGTGTGTCTGTTTCTGTGTGTGCATCCATATGTTAGTCTGACTGTGTGCGTTTGTGTGTGTGTGGGTGTGTGCACGATTCTCTGTGTGTGTGCCATTATGTGTGTGTATTTGTGTGACGTGTGTGTGTGTGTGTGTGTGTGTGTGTGTGTGTGTGTGTGTGTGTGTGTGTGAGCATGTCTATGTGTGTGTGTTTGTGTGTGTGGGCGGGTGTGTGTGTGTGCATGCGTCTATATGTGTGTGTGTCATTGTATGTGTGTGTGTTTGTGTGTCATAGTGTGTGTGCGTTTGTGTGTCATTTTGTTTGTGTGTGTGTGTGTGCGTGTTTGTGTTCAGGGCTTTTGGTGAAAGCCAGCCCAGATAAGCAGTTAGTGGCTGAAACACAGTATTTTTCCTGGAAGAGAGTGCATTTGAGCTGGCAGTCAGGCACTGTGCTCTCACAGAGGGATCACCAGGAACAGCAGATATTGGGGGAAATTGCACAGGAGAGCCTGGCTCCTCAAAAACCACTTGTTTTGCTCTCTGCGGTGTTATTTTTACCGGGCAAATGATTTCACAGACAGTCAAAGCAGAACACCAAAGAAAAAGCCAAGGTGTCTGCGTTTTTACAATTATGTTTTCATATATTTGAACCTGTGTACCTATGAAGTATTTTAAAAATGCAGCATGGGAATTAACGTTACACTGAGCTGTGTTCTGTTTGGCTCACCGTTTTGATTTCATCCTTACCTTGTAGGTAAAGACTTGATTTATGTTTTTGGTATTAAAGGTGAAGCAATTCACGCAAG